CGCATACCTTATATTTTTTTTTCACATCCTTGTTTTCTAACAAACTTTGTGACGTACGCACGTGTTCCCGCTCTTAATATCTGTGATTTGAATATATTATTTAAATATTTTAACTGAAATTTTCAGTTTTTTTTTTAAAATATTGTGTATCTTTGTGAATAATTTATAATGTCTATTCGTCCTGACATTCACTCCCAAACTAAAAAAACAATTTTTAGTGTTTATAAATATTTTAAAAAATTGTCTAATGACAAATCAAATCTTGAAGTGGCCAATTTTTTTAAACAAGCTCAGCAAATGACTGCGGAGGCATGTGAAGTGAGCATTGCGACTGTGAGGCGTATAACTTCTGAGGCATCTAAGTCTTCGTGTTCTGAATCTGAGGAAGGACCGAAATTTACGTCTCCCCGAAAAACATTCAAACGTGTGAAGTATGCGACTGACATCGACGATTTTGATGTAGACATTGTACGGCGGACAGTGCATGAGTTTTATGATAACCGTGAGTACCCAACTACACAAAAAATTTTAAGTGCTTATAAAGAAAAAACGGGTTATAGTGGATCTAGAACTTTAATGTGGCGAATTTTAAGATCATTAAATTTTAAATATAAAAAATGTAATGACGGTAGACGATTTTTCATGGAACGGAATGATATTGTTGCTATGCGCGTAAAATTTTTACGTAAAATGTGTAACCTTCGTCAAAGTAATGTCACTCGAACTATAGTTTACCTGGATGAAACTTGGGTTAACCAAAATCATTCACGTGGTCAAATTTGGCAAAATTCCCAAAATACTGAAGGATTAAAGGTACCGACTGGAAAAGGAGGTCGATTGCTTATTTGTCATGCTGGTTCTAGTAAATTTGGTTTTGTAAATGGTTCTAAATTAGTATTACGGTGTAAATCAAGTGCTACACATCCAGATTACCACACACAAATGAACGCCACTATATTTAAGAAATGGTTTATTGATATGTTAAACCATTTGGAGGAACCTTGCGTTATTGTAATGGATAATGCATCTTACCATTCTGTTCTTTCTGTCAATTATCCAAAATCAAATGCTATAAAATCAAGTGTTCAACAATGGCTCAGAGAAAACGGAGTAGATTTTTCTCCATTAGAAACACTGAGTGAATTACGGGAACGTGTAAAGTCATTAATACCCAAGGAAAAAAAATATGAACTTGATGAAATTGCACTTCAGATGGGCCATGAAGTTGTACGTTTGCCACCATACCACTGCAAATACAATCCTATTGAGTTGATATGGGCACAAGTAAAAGGGGAAGTCGCTAAAAACAATAAAACTTTTAAATTTGACGATGTCGAAAAATTGTTAAACGACGCATTGGACTCTGTAACTGTTGATAATTGGAAAAAATGTACCGATCACTGCCACAAACTGCAAGACGATGATTTCATCAAAGAAGGATTAAGAGACGAAATTTTGACACCAATAATACTGACAATCAATCCTGATGATAGTAGTGATAGTGAAAGCGACAGTGAAGAATTTTAAGTATTTTTTGTCATTAAAAATTACTAACTATTGTACAGTTTTAAAGTTTTAATTATAATGTAGTAATATTATTATGTATACAATGTGCACGTTTAATATTCTTAATAAATATTGTGTTTTTAATAAACTGTAAAAAAGAATGTTTCGTTATTATTTTTAATCGTTAAAGACATAAATAATGACTAATGAGATTTGAAATTGCCGCGGTTTATTCATAATTGGGAAACAATGGAATGTCAAACTTAGTCCACGGGTGGCGCTGCAATCGAATATCTAGTGTTGTGAAATGGACTATAGTATAAATTGACAAGCAAGCCGGGAGACGCCGATTTTCCGCCATGTTGCTTGTGGGCACGGATATAGATACTATGGTTGCACAACGAGCACGGATATGACGGCTCTGAATGTTCTTATCGAGAATTAAAAAAAATTCGCGTTATACTAGCGCCCTCTATGGTCTGGTAAATCATATACCCGCGATTATCTAAATTATAAAATTGTTTGTAAATCTAGGTTATATTTAGAATATGTATATCAATATTATTAATTTAATAATTATATTCATTATACATCACATAATTACTGTCTACTGTGTTGAATAGGTACTGATATTCCGTGTATTGAATACTTATACTCTGCATTTATAATATTATATACTGTTTAGTTATTTTATATATTTAATAAAATGCCAAAAAATTGTTGTGTGCGTGAACCTCATAATATTTTAAAACCATATTGTAGTGTACCTAAAGATGAATTTAAAAAAATGTTATGGGAAGCATCATTAGGTATGCAATTGAAAAAAAGTGATCGTGTTTGTGCTACTCATTTTAATCAATCCGATATTGTTATTTGTTAGTACATGGTCAAGTGGTGAAGGAGTAAATAAGTACACGGTATCAAATGTTTTTATTATTTTTCATTTACATTAAAATATTATAAACACAATTGTGTAACATTTTTCAACTTAAGTAGAACGTTAAATAAAAAAAATTCAATATATAAAAAATATCACTGCAATATATTTACAATTGAGTTTAAATAATAATACTGTTTAATACAATTTTTAAATAATACTGTTTCCTTAGATATGTTTAAAAAAATCGCAACTCAAAAAAGATGCACTTCCGGTGAACATTAAAAACATTAATCCTATGATACAGTCCGATACCTATTGAAGTTTGTTAAATTATAAAAGTTTCTATATACTATATTTTTTAAATAAAACATTGTTTAATATGAATAAACACACCATGGAATTCGATCAAATATCAACTGCCTGTGAAAGGACTATCAGCCAGACCATCGATAGTGATCTAGAACCTTTGCCAGCTAAAAAACAAAAAGTGATTGTTTTATTATACCTACCAAAATGTATTGTTCAATATTTAACATTATTAACATTCTTAAATTTAATTCAACAGATAGAACTAATAACACCACCAAATTCCTTATATAGTAAAATTTCAAAAAATAGTTTATCGTTGACTGTCCCAAATAATTGGTTTGCTAGTTTAGCTCTGTATACACCCAATATTTTGGTGCCTACCTTTCATAAATTAAGCTTATTTAAAGAAAATTATAAAAGATCTGTAGAAAAACAACTCATTATTACTGAAGGTAATTTTTCTGTTATAATATATCAAACACAAAATTTTTATTTTTATCTTAATTCATACTATTCTATTTTAGATTCTAAATTGATTACCTATACATGTAAATGGGAAAGAATTGGCATTATTAGAAATTGGGTTAAGTGATAATGTTATAAAAACCGAAGATGATGTAGAGGATTTATTAAATATTTTTGATGAAATTAAGTGTTGTGAAGGAGTAACACCTTCAAAGGCATTGTTGAATAAAATATCCGTGTTCAGCCAAAATATTATTGAATCTGATGGTCTATGGAGGCACAAAAATTGTTCAACAATACTCAAAGATGATGATGGGTAAATTAAATACTAAACACATCATTGGATCAAATGTTTCTTTGTGTTAATATGTAGTATTTTATTTTTTAGTGATTGTAATAATTTTATTTGGTGCAAACGTCTATTATTTTCAATGCAAAAAAAAAAATCTAGGATAAATGCAAAAAAAAATATCAGAACATATTTTTCCCCCAAAAAAAGATTAATTTTGCAAAGAATTCAAAATGTAAAACAAACTGTAAAAAAAAAACATTTATTGGCTACTAAAAAAATTAATAAATTAGAAAATGATTTCATCAGCATTAAAAATAAGATGAAGGATATCGATCAATTGACTCTAAACAACATTTTGGAAAGTACAGATATTTCTAAAGGGCAGTCTGAATTAATAAAAGAAATAGTTATGGCAGCAAAGGTTAAAAATACTAAGAGTCGGAAGATACAATGAAAATTGGATGTTATTATGCATGCTATTTCAAATAAGGTATAACAATTTATTTAATTTATCTACTTAATACTTTATATCTTTATCTAAAATATTATTAATAAACTATATTATGGTAATTGCCTAATATAGGTCTCCAGGTGGTTATTTATTTCTAAGGGAGCAAAACATATTACCTTTACCATGCATAAATACACTTCGAAAGCATTTGTTGGCTGTTAAAATTGGTTGTGGGTTTGATGAAGATTTTTTCAAACTCTTAAAAAAAAAATTCAGCAATAAAACTGAATATGAAAAAAAAGTTATATTAGCGTTTGACGAAATCTTCTTAAGAGAAGGTTTGGGTGTTAATACCAGAAGTCTCACATATCATGGGTTAGAAGATTTTGGAGATGGATTTGATGTTAAAACATCTGAGAAAACCAACCATGGGTTGGTATTAATGATACAAAGTTTGGCAGAAAACTTACATCAATCTATAGCAGTTTTTGCCTCCAAGGGATCAGTAAAAGGTAAATTTAGAATTAAATATAAGAAAAAATATTTCACATAATATAGGTAATGCATATTTGCATAAATGCAAATTGAATTTAAATAGGAGTTGATCTGGCAAAAATTATAATTAAAGCAATACTTCTACTTGAGAATGCGGGTGTTCAAGTTCTTGGTATAACTAGCGATGGGGCATCCACAAATCGGACAATGTGGAAAATATTAGGTGTTGGTGCAAAAATTGAAAAAATTCAAAATTCGTTTGAAAATCCTATTGATGCTAATAGAAAAGTATTCATTTTTTCTGATGCCCCTCATCTACTTAAAACCATCAGAAATAGATTACACTCAAAAAAAACTTTAAAAGTAAGATTTAATATACATGACATATTATGTAAGTATATTTATAATTTATGTATAATTATATTATATTATATGTATACAATAACTCTAAATTATACATTTTCTATTTTTAGGTCAATCCCCAAGATGGCTATGTTAAATGGCAAATTTATGAAAATTTATTCATGCATGATTCAAAAACAACTTTCAAAGTATGTCCTAAACTTACTAAAAACCATTTTAATTTAGATAATTTTACCAAGATGAAGGTGAAATATGCTGCCCAGGTTAATATTACTTATACATAATACAATTTTAGTAGTTCATAGCCGTATTATAATGAGGTGTGTTTATCAGATTTTTAGTAAATCAATGGCAGACGGAATTAAATTGTATAACAGCAAAAATTATTCTGGTTTTACTGAATGTGAAGACACTATTAAGTTTACTCTTAAAATGAATAACCTTTTTGATGCTCTGAACCGAAAATTTCCTGCTGAAGGCATCAAATCAAATAGTCCTGATCTAGAGGTTTTTTAAGTGTTACATGTAGTGTGTATATATGTACTTCTTCTGTGGCTGTCATATAATGGAAGTGTTAAAACATAATTTTTAATACCTAACAATAGTTAACATAGTTAACATGGAAATAACTTAAATTATGATTAATTAATTTAATTTTTAAGGTACTAAGAGATGCATTGAATTGGTTAAACAGTTGGGAAAGGAATTTGGAACAAAATTTAATAACTGATAATGATTTTCTGACAAAACAAACGGCAGAAGGTCTAAGAATGACCATTCAATCTACAATAGATTTATCTAATTTCCTTTTAAATGATTGTGGCTTTGCATATGTTTTGAGCAATAAATTCAATCAAGACCGTGTAGAGGTATGATAGTTGATGTAGAAAATAAGCATCAAGTTCTAAACTTATTCTCATCTAAATCATAAAATATACCTATATAACATAAAAATAATAACAATGGACATTTTTCAGAATTTTTTTGGTATAATTAGGCAAACTGCAGGTCCATATGACCATCCGTCAACACCAACATTCCTTCAATTATATCGAATGTTGTCAGTCTATTCAATAATTAAGCCCCCAAAATCGGGAAATTGTAGCATATTAGAAGGTACCTCCTACCTATATTTTATTTTGTGCAATTTAAATTATAATGTATCTGTTTAATTAATATCTTGAATTTTATATTTTAAGAAAATTGCCCACTAATTTCTTTAGCTGACATCAAAAGTATAATTCATGACCAAAATAATTCTATTGAAAGAAATAACAAGATTAAAAAGTTGAAAGCGAAGATTGATGGAATTGTTGAAGAAGGCTGTTGGACATTTGATGATGTTTTTTCAGAACACAATTACAGTGATTTAGATTCTTCTGTGTTTGAGTGCATCGTTTATTTTTTAGCTGGGTAGTATAAATGTTATTAGTTCAACTTACTATCTATGGTATATTCTAGTTATGTCCAATAATCAATTACTTATTGTTGTTAAAATAATATTTATTATGTCTTGTTTCTCAGGTAGGTACATAACAAGGAGAATGTACATTGTGCATTCAAAGTCTGACTACAGATTTGAAATCAACACATTTGGCAGCTGATTTGGTTAATATTAAAACAAAAGGATATTTAGTTCATCCCCAACACAATTTATTTAAAATTTTAGAAGCATTAGAACTGTGTTTTATGAAACATTCAGAAAAAGCAGATCCTTTTACCGACATATATGAAGAATTTTTTCAAAAAGAAAACTTACATTTATCATTTCCATGTGCTCTTCATAAAACTGAAATATTTATTGATATATTTGTAATGTATATAACCATGCGTATGAGACAACATACTTATGCTAGAAATAATAAAAATAAAAAAAGTAATAAAAGTAAAAAAAAAATTTCAAAATTAACAACTACATAAGGGGTCAATAAATATTTTTCCAGCAAAATTCAATTGTAAGCATTTTAATTAGTTCTTTCATAATATTTAGCATATATATTTAATACTTAAAAACATTAACTTTAATTTAATGTATAAAATATGTACATCAATATGTTTAGTGACTTACTTTTTAAAAATTCCATATTTCCGTGTAACAATAATTATTATATTTTTGAATAAATTAAAGAAATAATGAACAATATTTTTATTTATTTGTTAATTTATTATTGTGATTAGTTATGGTAACATGGTATAAGAGTTCAATAATAATTACTGTAGAGGGCGCTAGTAAAACGCGACTTTTCGTCAGATTTGATAAGAACATTCGGCGCCGCTCAACGCTGTGATCCAATATAGGCCGACGTGCAACCATAGTATCTATATCCGTGTTGTGGGCTCATAGATAATAAATACATGGATAGGACGCCTCAAATTCACGATTGGATCTTCGCAGGAAAAAATTTTTTGTGATCCATGGTGTCAAAAATGTCCACCAGAGTGAATCACGTCTAGTCTAATCCCTATCATCTTATCAGTTATCGTTGATAAAAAAACGATGATAATGTGATTTGAATTTTTGATTATTTATTATATTTTGTATTATTTTATTTTATTCATCAATCATTATTAAATATAATTACACATAATTAAAACCAAAAAATAAAAATAAAAGGAAAAAAAGGACCAAGGGAAAAAAAACCATGAAAGTAAAAACCAAATTTTTATATTTTGCTTTATAATAATAATAATGATTTATATTCATATTATAAATTTGTTTTACAATAACTATAATTTCTTCCAAATTTGAACTTAAATTTAAAATCGTTGTTTTAAATTTTCAATCCTTAGCTATAAAAATTGAACAATTTATAATTTTTAACTACGTTTTAAAAATTTGTCACAATACAATAATAAGAATAATAATTTCAAATAAGTTTCAAGTTTTAAAAAAATGTTAATACAAACATACAGTCTACAGTTATAATAATAATAATTTCAAATAAGTTTCGAGTTTTAAAAAATTGTCAATACAAACATACAGTCTACAGTTATAATAATAATAATTTCAAATAAGTTTCAAGTTTTAAAAAATTGTCAATACAAACATACAGTCTACAGTTATAATAATAATAATTTCAAATAAGTTTCAAGTTTTAAAAAATTGTCAATACAAACATACAATAATAAGAATAATAATTTCAAATAAGTTTCAAGTTTTAAAAAAATGTTAATACAAACATACAGTCTACAGTTATAATAATAATAATTTCAAATAAGTTTCAAGTTTTAAAAAATTGTCAATACAAACATACAGTCTACAGTTATAATAATAATAATTTCAAATAAGTTTCAAGTTTTAAAAAATTGTCAATACAAACATACAATAATAAGAATAATAATTTCAAATAAGTTTCAAGTTTTAAAAAAATGTTAATACAAACATACAGTCTACAGTTATAATAATAATAATTTCAAATAAGTTTCAAGTTTTAAAAAATTGTCAATACAAACATGCAGTCTACAGTTATAATAATAATAATTTAAAATAAGTTTCCTGTTTAAAAAATTGTAAGTTTAACATCGTCATGTTGTAAATCATCATATAAATGTAAAAAAAAAAAATTATAAAATTATAAATGTTAAAATAAATCATAATTAAATAATAAAATATTGTTCACAAGTATGAATGATCGAACGCTGGTGTAGTACTTATAGTTAAAAATTCGGTGGAATTTTTCAATGACTCTCTAATTTGTGTACCCTCAATTGATGATAAAGTTGATAGATGTTGATTTGGTACTTTTTTTTTTGAAATAAATCTTGCTTGCGGTTCAATTTTTCTTTTTCTGGCCAATTCTAAGTTTGATGTTTTTTTAAAATCTATATTTTTTCCTAACGTTGTCAATATGTTATCGCACTGTCTAATTATATATATCTGATCTTCTTCGTTCATATTTGCTCGACTATGCATACCAAGTATCATTTCTAATTTGTTTTTAATTTCTTCATTGTTTTCCATTATATTTTCATTTTGCTTCAATATTTCTTGTTTTTGTAAAAACCCATTATCGACAACTAAATCACATGGTAATGGCAAATACTGGTTTTCATTTTCTACTGTTTCTGAATCTGATGCAGTCTGTTGTTTAGCACATGCATGTATATGTTTACAAATGTTAAAATAAATAACATTATTCATGCAAGTACATTTATAAGTGTGTACACATATTTTACAGATATTACATCGTAGTAGACAATCACATGATACTGTGGTTTTTTCGACTCTATATTGAATATTTATGTCCGTCTCGGAATTAACCAACCAATTACCATTAACTTCAACAACCATATCCGGTGTGATTTTTGTACTTTTATTGTGAGCTGCAATAATTTGTGTCAGTTTATAAGACATTTTTTGTTTTGAAATTTTAATGATTCTTTCAAAACTTTTGTCTCTTACCAATGACATTAGGGCATTAATCGATAAATCTAAACGTTTGCAGCTTTTGCCTTCTAAATAACAATATTTTATTGATTTATGGAGTGCTTCAAGGTACATGTTAGTATTAATACCAACATGTTTTCTATTAAAATAGGCCCACTTTTCTGCTCTCTGTGAATATGTAGTCTTAAAGTACTTTCCAAAATCTGCTGTATCTTCATCATTTAGAAGATCATCTAATACCTTTTGCAGCTCAATCACAAAATTATTTTCGTCTGTTTCGTATAACAAAGCTTTTAAAGTTTTAAATACAATATTTTGTTTTTCATTTGAGTGAATCTTTCTTAAATTTTTTGCCCAGTTCCTTAATACATGCCAAGTACACAATAGCTGTTTGCCTGCAGGTCCCATTACAGCATTCCATGCGTTGTAAAATGCCGGTTCATCATCAGACATAAAAATGTTTGCATTAATATTACCAGTTATATTTTTGATACACCGAAAAAAGTGGCTGTATATGTTAGTATCAGATCGATTGGAAAAACAAAAGGCTACGGGATATCCATTTCCGTATTCATCTACTACAACTACAGTGTACAGTTGGAAGTTATACCCATTTAGTCCATGTGTACCATCTAAACATACTTTGTCCTTTCCAAATTTTAATAATAACTCAGATTGAAATTGAGTCATTATTACAAGACAAAAATCATTCAAAGTGAAGCATGGAACACAATTATCATTAACTCCTTGTTGCTTATAATATAAAATTGGACTTTCATCACCTTTTTTCATCATTTCTTTTACCCAAAGATCTACACTTATCGCATCATTTTGGTGTTTTTTTGTTGAGTATGAAATATTAAAATCACGCTTGATATTGTAGATATCTTTTTTTTCTAGCAAATGAATTCTTTTAATACTATCCATCTCAATGTTTGATGATCGAACATCTTGCAAAATTCTGTTGACTGGAACACCCAAGGATAATTTTCCTATTAAAAATATTGAAAGGTTATATCGACATAATCTATTAATCATATATGATATGTTATATAATTATGAACATAAATAACTTTATATTTGTTTAATGATTCATATAAGTTACCAGCAATCTTACTCCTATCTTCATTGAACAATCTTAGTTTTCCTATATCCTTGGTATGCCATAAGTGTGTACTATAATATTGTACATTAATTTGTTTATTGTCTATGTGTACTTTCATGTTGGAAGGGCAAACATGGCCAGTTTTTACGGATCCACCACTTTTTGTACATTTGTGTCCCTGTTTAATGATTGGTTTTATTAATCACAAATTGGTTAAGTACATTTTATGTTAAATATCTTACTTTGTTTGAAGTTCTTGGTCCAAATGATCTGTGGCAAAAATAGTATACATACTCTTTATTTAAATTTTTTTTTTTTGATGACAACTTGACATATTGGCACTCTTCTTCATCTTCTATATTTTTTTTCCATTTGTTAAAATCTGTTAATTTGATATTTAATTAAGCTATACTCTTTTAGTTATTAACTTACATTTACATAACTGAAAAATTCAGTTCCTTTATGAAATATTATTATAAAAATACATACATGTCCACAATAACATCAAAAGTAAAAGCCAATATTTTCAGCCAAATCACAAGAAATGTTAATATTTGACCTATAACATTTAAACGATATTAATACTGAACAAACATTTTATAAGGAACGATACTTACCAATAGTGGCTGTAATTCACACATTACTTTTGAACTTGAGTAACTAACAAGTGATCTAGTTACCTATTTTATTTTGTAACTTGTAACGTAACTTAGTTACTTTTAAAAAGTAACTTATTCAACACTGATAATAATACATGTTCACAGTAACAGTATGATTGCCATTTTGCCATCAATAAATATACTTAAATATGCTTCAAATGTTTTAACAAATGAAGGTTGCATCCTTCACTCATCTTCAATTTTATCAGAAAACAATTAAATTAGAGTTTTTAAGAGTATAAATAATAACTGAGTCATAATATGGATGAAAAACCAATCACACAGCCAAATCACAGGAAATATAAACCAAACATAAATCACCTATAACATTTAAAAAGTATTAATACTGAACAAACATTTTATGAGGAACGATATTTCGCAATAGTGACTGAAAAATTTTGTAATAATTATACATACATGTCCATCAAAAGTAAAAACAAATACTTTAAGCTAAATCACTGAGTACATAGAAAACAATAAGTTAGCAATAATAATTGTTAACAGATATATAATGTAATTATAAATTAATATACCTTCTATAGAATTAAAATTTAACATTGTGGGCTCGATATTAATGTTATGAGATTTTAAATGCACAATTAATCCTTTCATGGATGGAAATGATTTTGTGCAATTTGTATATGAACATAATATATTACTATTCTGACTAAATAAATGAGTCTTAGTGTGTTTTATAATATTCAATTTTAAATCAAATGATGCATCGCAGTCATTACAATAATAAAGATTTTTAATTTTCGGAGTATCTTTATGTTTTATTCTTAAATGTTTATTTAAACCAGACACTGATATGTATTTAGCATCGCAAACTTGGCAATTAAACATGGTTATATATTTTTTGGTTTTAATTATGTGTAATTATATTTAATAATAAAATAAAGTAAAATATTAAATAATACATAAATAATCAAAAATTCAAATCACATAATCACAACACTATATTATCATGAATCGTTTTTTTATCAACGATAACTGATAAGATGATAAGGATTAGACTAGACGTGATTCACTCTGGTGGACATTTTTGACACCATGGATCACAAAAAATTTTTTCCTGCGAAGATCCAATCGTTCAAATTCATTACGTATTAGTTTTGCGGTCCAACATAGATAAGAAATTGAGGCGATTTGTTTACATTTTTTGTTGACAGTCGATACTCCATATAGATATACTTTATTTGGCCTCAATTATTCCCCTGGAAGACCGCTGATAAGACCATTATGTCCTATCCATATCTTTATTATCTATGTGACTGTGTGTGGGCTAGGGTCTTTTATCAATGCTTATCGTTGTGATAATACTGCAGTTAAAATAAATGTTATTATGATAATATTATTATTATTATTATAAACCACATATTTCTATATTATAAAATACAAGAAGTCTGTGTTATAAACTCAGAAATATTTAATAATGTACTAACTAATAATAACAATTAAAAAAAAAACTTCCTACTAAAGTATCTTAAAAAAACTAATCTTACTACTAAAAACAACATAATACATAGGTAATATTTATCTATTTCAGATGCACAAAATATGTATGACTACAACTTACAAATTATTAAACAAAATTGATTTGTGTAACTTTTGTCTTTTGTTGACCGAAGTTTTCATAATAGAAGAACTTAAAATTTTGCTGTAAGAGTGTATACGAATATTTAAATACATACGGCTTACTAGGTTAATAATATTTATCTTGTGAGGACGTGAATGCATATCAGTGTCTTCAAAACATGTATTTGTTTCTGGAAGTATATTTGTACATAATGCAAGTGAGTTTTGAACCATTATCATTATTTTTTGATCCATATTTTTTATAAATAATTGCCTTTTGTCAATAGCTATACACTTAAAGTATTGTTCAGTTTGTTTGACAATTTTTAAAATACTTTCAGATGCTAGTTGAAGGCCTCCTCGACTTTTTACATTTGTCAAATTATTAAATGCTTTTTTATTTTGTTGACAATAATCATGGAAATTGGTGTTATTTGATGTATCAAATAATGCCTTAATGTCATATGGACACTGCAAAACCGGAATAAGTTTTTTAACTATATAACCAGAAATATAGTATAATACATTGTCGGTAATAATGTTGATAAACGGATCATTGCTACAATTGTTGTCTACTAGTAATTTAATGGTTGATTCTTCTTCATCATCATTTTGTTTCATATATGGTTTTTTATATTTCCATTTAATAGAGAAAAGAGAATCTTCTTCGTGAGTGAACAAATTACAATTCCCATTTATTAGAGTAATTGAAGTATGTAATAAAATACTTTTTATAGCACTAGTAAATTGTAAGCAATTTGGGTTGTTATTGGATCCAAATCGACCTCGCGTATGTCCAAAGAATAATTCAATTGCATCTTGGCTGAATTTATAAGTTAAGACAAATTTAAATCCATGATTGGCCAGTAGATCTTTTGATATATTTATGATTTTATTGATGTGGCAAATCCAATGATAAATGTTTTCCTCTGACTTTTCCACAGAGGCACTCCATCTACAGTTTTAAGTGAGTATAAATACTTGATGTGACTGTTCATTCTATTTTCTTTAAATTCTATATTTTCCATACGAATAGGTTGTTTGAAACCTTTACCAAAAGGAGTTCTTGAATTTAAGAAATCAAAAATTTCATCAATAATTCTAATGAACTGAATTGTTGGTTCACAATTTTTAAAGTTATCTGATGTTTGTTTTAGAAACTGAAGAGCATCTGCCACTGAACTACTTAGAGTTTGGACTGCAAGTTTAACTTTCATACTGTTACCTTTCCAGTTAATGTGTGCTGATCCAATTTTATTACCTAATTTAAATCCAGCTTCATTTTGCAGTTCAAACAACTGTTCCAAGTATCTCCATTCAATAAGTTGTCCGTTTTCATTTTTAAATGCTTTAAATGTCCCTAAAGCATTTCTTGCCAATTTTATATTGTGACACGCATCTGGAGTGAAATATAAGTCCGGTTTTGTTGGGTCTACACTAAAATTAGGTTTAATTTCAGAAAATTCTTCATTTAATTTGCACCCTAATATTTGAAAAGTACTGCTATTCGCATAAGCTCCATCACAAGTTACACTTACTACATTTATTTTATATTTGTAGCATTCAGTTATAGCAATTTTTATAAGCTGTGCTTGTACTGCAGATTTAATTTTGTCAACAAACCAATAACCGATCGGCCATTTCCACTTTACTTTTAAACTTGATAGCATAAAAACTAAAACTTCTGAAGCTGGTGTTTCACATTCTTCAACACTTAAATTGTTACCATAATCGCAATAACCAACAAACCTACAAAATTAATTTTGATTAAATTAAATTTATTACAAATATGAATTGCAGCCAAACTAAATCTTATTTTGATGAGAATTATTTAAATAATTATTTTTCATCTATAATAGCATTTATTTATTTATTTATTTATTTATGAAAGATGTAATAAATATAATAGATTTTAGTTGTTAAAAAAAAAACTTAATGGGTGTAGGTACCTATGGTTTGCTCTGTCCCAGTAAATTTCCTTTTTGATACTCATTGAATCAAGAATTAAACAGCAGTACTTATTCTCATCACTAAATTTTCCAATTTCTGTTAAGACATCAGACAAAAATCCTGCACTTGCATTTACATTTGATATCCAGTTTCTTATGGAACTTGGGTTAGGTAAACTTAAAACAGATCTTTGTTGTTTACAAAATTGAGATAATTAGTATACAAATTTTAAAATAAAAAATAAAATAAAACCATAACAATACATACCGAACATAATTATATGCTTTAGGAGAGTAAAAGAATAATGTGGTGGCAAATTGTTTAGTTTCCTCACAATAACGTCTTCCTTTAGGGACAACTTTTCCATTATTTATTAAATTTTGTAGAAATACATTTGTAAAACTATTCTTCATAATATTTGCTGTATCTGTATCACTTTTACTTTTTATTTTTGACATCAGTTCCTAGTTGTATTAATAATGTATTAATCTAAAATCACAGATATAGATAATAAACTATATCTGTTTATTATCTATATCTGTGTCTAAAATATAACTAGTTTAAAATATTATTTTGTTTAATTATGAAGATACCTGTATATTAGTAATTTTTTTTCTGCCTTCTAACTGTCTGTTGCAATCTCTTAACTTTGTGTCGTAAAATGTTAACATTTTTTCTTAAATAAATTTTAGTCGGAGTTTCTTTAAATATTTTCCTTTTTTTTTGATTTGTTCCACAAGACATTGTTTGTGGACTACAGTCTATTAAAAAAGTTGTATTATTTACTCAAATTATTAACAATTAATGCTTAAATGCTTGTTTCATTAACCTAACACAGCAGAGTTGTAAGATTCTATGTCACTAGATTTAAAAAGCTCTCTTTTTGAATTTATTTTTGGAGAAACTGATGGTAACACAAAACAACTTGATATCTCACTCATTGTATAGTCCAGTGGCTCTATGACTGAAATAAAAATAATATTTTATTTTGTTTCAGAAATTATGTTAGTGCTAATTTTTAGTCATTACACGATTCTTATCACTTTCAACATTGGGTTTAGTAAATTGGCAATAAGCATGTTCCTGTTGAACTACGTCTACTTAAATTTTTTGTTGGCCAATAAATAAAGTAGGGACTGCTGTTTCTTTAAGCCGTTTTAGATCTGGCCGTTCTACAAAGTCATTTTCAGTGAAATGAATATGACATATCCTGTGATATGTTGGGATAAAATTATGCCTTTTTATAGCAACTATCCACTTTTCTTTAAGTATGTTATTTCTTGGAAATCTATACATAAATGATTTGGTAAAATAGTTGTTAAGCTGTAAAATTGAATGTTTGGATGTCCATGTTAAAACTACTGATACATACTTGAAAAACACTACTTTATCCCGACCAGAACGATTAGCACATCCAAGTACACAGCAAGTTTGTGGCATTTTAAATAAATATTTTTTTTTATAAAAATAAAAAATGTATCTAAGTAAAAACTTCTAGTTTTGTCAAAACGCTAATTAAAATATCATTACATTTTAACAGCATAGGCTCTTTTGATTATTGTTTTTATTAAGATTAAAGGGTGTTGGCACAGATATAGATAATAAATAGATAGTTATATAATAAATTTTCTGTGGTTGGGTATCATTTATTTTTATATATCCGTGGATTTGAAATACCCGCCAAATAATAAATTAAGTATCACGTTAATCATATTATTATGATAACACTTCATAGCCCACAACAAACATGGCGTTTTTTGGCGACAGCTGATAACACTAGTTAGCAATCTAGTTTATTATCTATATCTGTGACTGTATGTGTTAAATTTGAATTCAATGATATAAAATCTATGCATCTTTCTTTAGTTACTTTCTAAACTTTATTTCTGTACTTACAGATCAAACATATTTATTGGAAAAAATAGCTTACCTAAAAGCCAACACTATTATAAACAATATGAATGTGTCAAATGATGAATCTACTATGAATCTACAACTACTACTACTGATGATAATGAATTAACTTGTGCATTTAAATGGCCAAATGAAGCCATCCTTTTACTGATTGAAGAGTATCGGAAAAGAGCAGATGATTTTTGTTCTGGAAAAGTTTCCCAGAAAAAAACATGACAAGCAGTATCTGATTCACTATTAACAAAAGGATATGTTCTCACTGGACCCCAGTGTCTTAGCAAATTTTCAGGCTTAAAGAGAACCTACAAATCGATTAAAGATCATAATAATAAATCAGGAAATGGATGTATTTTAATACTATGGACTCTGTTATTGGAACAAAACCATATATGAAACCAATTGCTACTGTTTCTACCACGGGTGTTAAAAATTATGCAACAAATAATGAAACATTGAGTATTAAATCTGGAGTGCCACAAGGTAGTGTCCTGGGCACGTTACTTTTCATATTATATATTAATTCAATATGTGATTTAAAAATTGATGGACAAATCACAACCTATGCGGATGACACATGTCTCTTGTTTTCCGGTGTGTCGTGGAAAGATGTTCGTTTAAAAGCAACAAAAGAAGTAAAAAAGTGATGAACTATCTAAATCATAGGAAACTATCAATTAATTATAATAAAACTAATTTTATAAATTTTTCAATAAACAAAGAAGAGAACAATAATGATGATTTAAAACTCTGTTTTTGTGGGAATGGAGATAACTGTAATGACAACATATGTCATAAAATATACATGGTTTCTAGTATAAGATATTTGGGCTTAATTTTTGATAGTAATATGAGATGGAATTTGCATGTAAAGACTACTGTTATGCGCATGCGTACTTTATCATTTAGCTTTTTTAAATTAAGGAACTTCCTGCCTGTGAACGTGCTGCGTATAATTTATGTATCATTATTCCAGGCAATATTTCAGTATGGTTTGTTGTTATAGGGAGGTTTGAATGAAAACGCGGTTAGACCACTAATTTTATTTCAAAGAAAAATTATCAGAATTTGTTTAGGTAGAAATAATTTAATAGGTTCAACTGGTGAAAATTTTAAGGTGTTGAATGTGCTACCAGTCGAGAGTGTATATAAAAAGGTATCTATTATGTACATAATAAAAAATTATGAACATTTTTTTGTTGTGGAAAATATGAGAAAAAAACGCGAATTGATGGCCTTTGATGTCAAAGTATTTTATTGTAAAAAAACTTTTGGTCAACATTTCATTGATTATTTAGGTCCTAATTATTATAATGCAATGCCTTTACACATAAAAAAACTCATCTACTACTCAATTGGGAATCTTAAAATTACGTGCATCAAAAAAGAACTTAACTCATTGTTATTTTCACTGATAGTTGTATAAAAATAAATAAATACATTTTCAATCTTATATAATTATGTGTGGAATAAGATAATATGAAACTTTGAATATTAATTATGAAATTTATTATGTTACTGTATCTTATTATTTGTAATTTGAATTAGTTTTTTTTGTAAATAATTTTGTCTATATTTATGCAATGTAACTCTCTACCACCAACACAAGCATTATGCTTAAAGGAGGTAGATACTTTATTGTAAACATTTTAATAATATGTCAAACATCTTATTTATATTTACAATAAAAAATTAAAAAAAAAAAAAAAATTATTATTTGTTTCTTCTGAAAATATTTGTTGTGTGTATCAAGGAATTCGAAAGTTCATCTCCTTGCATCAAACAAATATTATGTAATACACAGCATAATAATATAAATGTCGGTATTAAGTCGATGCGCTCCGTGTCAAGTGTCGTAAGCAGACTTCGAAACCTGCCTTTCAGTAAACCAAATGATCGCTCAATGGCCATCCGAGCTGAAGAGTGACAGAAGTTAAAATGTTTTTGTTTCACAGTCAAATGACCATTGTCACGATACGGTACAAGGTGTTCATGGTTTGTATATGCAGCATCACCGATTATATGGCCATCATTTGGAAATTTTGATGGATCATCTATATAATTATACACTTCAGAAAGCCGAAATACTCTTTGATCGTGTACTGATCCAACATTTCCAACGAAACAATGTATTTAACGACACTGGTGATCACAAACAGCCTTTATGAAAGAAAACAAATCATCATACATAATATATAATCAATGATTTACAATAATAATAAAATATAAGATAAAATACTTGTAATTGAATAGAATGATGGCCTTTTCTATTGACATAAGTTTCTGGATGTTTGTGTGGTGCACGGATATTTATATGAGTTCCATCAATGCTCCTATAACACCAGGAAAAGAATTTGTAGATGAAAACCCATTTTTAACTACTGAAGTTCTATCTGTGTCTGGCCAAATAATAAAATGTGGAGCTAAATTTGCTAAAGAATGGGTGACTCTTCTTACAGCCTTCAATGCAGATGATCGGCTAACATCAAATTTTTCACAAATTGACCTATGAAATAATAAATAGAAAACCATAACTAATATTTGTTGTCTGTTACCTATATATTAGTCTTTTGAATTTTAAAATTATAAACACCAAACCTTGTTTGTATGTTTAGGGGCTGGAAATAAATATATAAAGAGTATCTACCTATAAGAATCTGGAGTGGCCATTTTCAATATAGCAATAAGAAACTGTTTTTTTGGTGGTATAGTCGGATAGCCAGGCTTATGCCTAGTCAATTTAGGAGCAATCATTTGAAGTATAAATTCAAATGTCGATGGAAGCATTCTAAAAATGATATAATATGCATTAATGTAACACAGACAATTTCATAAATAAGTTAATACTTGTACAGTAATTTAAGCGTCACGTAAGCACAGTCCCTTAGAATTGTGTTGCACAGTCATACTTATGGGATTACTGTAACTTAATGTTTCTCTTAAAATTAAATGGTGGATAGACCACCTTTAACGGGCCCGTAAACAATGGTTTTATTTAATCATTTCAAAATAAAAATAAAAAAGTAATTGTGTAATTTGTGTGTATAAAATATAATAATATACACAAACAGTTTCATATTATCATATTATAGGTAGGTACCCACGAATAATATTTTTAAATTATAACAAAATAACTAAAACCGTTATACTTGGCTTCATTTTGTAATTTCGTCAAAATATGAAATTAAAATGTATATAAAAAAACACGAATGAAAAAGTTTTGAAAATCTCACTTACGAGTTGTTTTTAGAAAAAACGATAAGACTTTGGGAAATAAAATTTATGTTAATTGGATTCTCGTAACAAGCTACACAAAATGTATATTTTGGATTTGTCAAAAACTCAAAATTTAAGATTTTCAAAACATCGATAAAGTTCTAATTGGTTTTCAAAAACCAAAAATCTCAAATATCAACATTTTTGAAAATTTAAAAACTGATCTCAGTGGAGAGTACCCCTGAGATTAATTTAGAATCAGAGGAAAATATTCGTTTCATCATCGATTGCTCGGCAAAAGGCGAATGAAAATAGAAAATTTCGAAATTTTAAAAATCTCGCTTATGAGTTGTTTTTATATCAACATTTTAGAGGAGCGATGAATGTATTGATTTTATAATGAGTTGTGTTTGTTTATTTTTTTAGATTCTGAGTGGAGCGTAAGAATGAATTTATTTCACAATGATGTGTTTTTTTTGTCTGTCACCAACCATTCATTTGTGTAGTAAAAATGCTCCAATTTTCGAGATCAGTATCTTTTCTGATAGGAAATTGAATCAAGTACTTAAATCTAGTCCAAATCGAAAATTCCATGTAATTTTAGAAAGCGTCCAGAAAAACAGCATAAAAGTTTAAAAAAAGTGGTAATTTATACACAAAATCAATTTTTGAAAAAAATCGATTTAATTTTTTATGTGTAACTCAAATTAACTGCCGTAGACCATTGGAATTTTCACCAAATATTTATATTAACATTTTTCATCAATGGTAAAATTTTCAAATTTTTTTTGACACTTTTTGAGCTATTTATAGCAATGATTATTTTTAGATAATCATACCTAATACTAAAATGAATTACTTTAATCACAATAATATCATAAAATATGCCTACCTATAGTAATATTATAGGCTGACCACGATCAGAATCGTTTTTCGTATACAAATAATGCAATGATATTATAATATTATTGAACTCAAATTTAATACCATCCATTACAGTGACCCACTTGTAACATACTTTACAGCAGACCGACATTGTAGGTATGTAGACGGTTTGTAGAGAATGTAAATAACAACGGACACGTTCAACAGTATAACGTATATTTTGCACGGGTAATATTAATACAAGACAATATAATTACAATACGTGCGGTGTTGACGAAGGTCCGGCGAGAGATGCCACCCGTCGCCACCGACGCTGGCCGGGCCGGCGGCCGTGCCGCAGGCGGCGGCCAGACCGGTTGTCGGTCGCGATCTCGCGGACGTCGATAGAGACACCGCGGCCGTTGCGATAACGACCGCGACATACTCCCCCCCGAGTCCACGAGACGCGCCCGAACAACCAGACTACTCCGGGTCGGTGTGCGGGGCCTCGGACGTCACCTCCATGGACTCGATCCATTGCTCCACGATGGCCAGCTGTCGCTCCTGGGAGTCGGCTGGCGGAGCTAACGGTTGCGGCGTGGGTGACGGCTGGGTCGGCTGCTGCACCGGTGGTTCTGCAGGCTGTGGCTGCACTACTGGCTGCGGGGCCGGCTGCGGAGCTGGCGGTTGCACTGCGGGCTGAGGCTGGAACCGCCCCCGCCTATCCCGCACATCGTGGCGTTGGTACGCCGGCGCCGCTCGGCGGGGTGGTGCCCTCCCGGGAGGTCCTGCCCGAGTCCTGGCAACTTCTGGCTGCGGGGTGTTAGCCCGCGTAGACCGACGTCCCTCGGCGAACCCCCGCTCGAACAGAGCCCACGCCGTCGGGCTAGCCCGGATCCGGCCAAATGACGCGGTGGCCGCGCGTTCAGCCGACCAACCGCTCACCGTGTCCTCCGGTCCATCCCCGGAAAGCCTCCTGGCTTCTCGGAGCAGCTGCCCGGCCATGGCTCGCAGCTTCTCCACGTGGGCGGCAATCATGCCACGGGATGGCCGGTGGTTGCGGTTTGGTGGTGGAGGGTTTAATCGTTCTGCCATCTGAAACAAAGTATGATTAGTTAGTGTTCTCTGACGGTCCTACAGCTAGCTTCATCGCTGAGACATGTAACTTAGTAGGGTGTTTACCCTCCGTCAAGAACACTCCGGTCCCTAGTGGCTTACCCAACTTAACCGGACCTAACCATTTCGGGGCGAACCCCGCGTGAAAACGCTTCTCCGCACTTGACTGCGGATGCGCTTTGTAGTATACCCAATCCCCGACTGTCAGATTACTTCTTCCCGGGGATTCTAGGGGTATATGGGTACTGGGGGCTTTGTGGTTGGAGACCACCGGGTTACCCCCCTGTACCACAGTAGCATCATCCGGTTCCACCGGGGAGCCTTCGATTTCTACCGGAGGGTTCCGCACTGCTTCGGACAACTCCGGATCATTTTTGCCCGCGTCCGGAGATCCTTCGGCCAACTCGAGCTGCCAATCTCCGGGGGCCTTGATCTCCCGGCCAAACATCATTTTGGCCGGTGACTGTCCGGTGTTTCGGTTTTCTCTGTTTCTTACGGAGAACAACACGTGCGGCAGGTAGACGTCCCACAGATGATGAGGCTTATCAACAAGTAAGGTTCGGAACCCTTTCTTCAGCTCTTGATTTTGCCTTTCTACCGGGTTGGCACGTGGGTGGTATATTGGAGTCGTCCATCCTTCCACTCCCCACCTCTTTAGTGCGTCTCCCATTGCCTTGGACACAAACTGCGGGCCATTATCTGACAATAATGCCCTCGGGTACCCGAACCGTGGGAACAACTCCCGTTCGAATGTATCCACAATCGATTTGGTCGTCGCCTTTCCTAGTGGGTACGCCTCTACCCAGCGACTGTAACAATCAGTTACTACCAAAATCGTGGTCTTACCCCGCTGCGTTCGTGGGTATGGACCCATAAGATCGATGCTCAGCACCTCCCAAGGTTGCCGGGGGACTCTGGTGCATATCCGATCTTCTGGTTTGCGATTCAGTGGTTTTACACGTGCACAGACGTCGCACGCCCGCACGTAGTTACGCACTGCTTCACGCATACCGGCCCAAAAGAAACGACTCTTTATACTTCGGTACGTTTCTTTCCACCCTGGGTGATTCGCTGCTTCGTGGTCGTGAAACCTTTGTAGTAGAATCTGGGCCTTGTCTACCGGGACGACCACCCCCTCTTCTCCATGCGCGATGGATCGTGGGTGGCGGTGCAACACCTTGTCCCGGATGACGTACAACTTCCGAAGCCGACCGAACCTTGCACCATCTCCGGAGAGTTTAGTAACTATCTCCCTTATGTTCGGGTCGTTTTGTTGCCACTCTCGGACAGCTTGCAATGTGACATTTCCGTCATTTCTCTTCGGCTGGATCGCTCCACACTGGGTGACACCCACACCGGATCCTCCGGACACGCCGGACAGATCACCGAAGACTCCGGAAGTTCCTCCGGACACTCCGGGCCGAATCACTGGGGGATCGTGGATATTGTTCTCCAACGATTCTTCGTCCACTGTATTCGGTCCCACCGGACAACGGGATAGCGCGTCGGCTGCTTCATTTTCTACTCCGGGTACGTGCCGGATTTCAAAATCGAAAGCCCCGAGTTGCAGTGCCCATCGCGTTAGTTTGCTGTTGGTACAGCGAGCTTGCTGTAACCATCGGAGTGCCGCGTTATCTGTGAATAACATAAACTTACCAGACTCAAGATACGGCCTGAACCTGTCAACCGCCCAAACTATGGCTAGACATTCACGTTCGACTGCCGAGTATCTTCCCTGTGCTGGATTGAGTTTCTTGCTGGCGTAGGAAATGATTTTCCTGTCACCACTCTCCCCCCGCTGGAAGAGCACGGCACCAACTCCGACTTCGCTTGCGTCGGTCTGTAGATTGAATGGCTTACCCGGAAGAGGAGGGCAAAGCCGTGGTGCGGACACCAAAGACTCCTTCAACTTCCGGAACGCCTCTTGCTCAATTTCTGACCAACGCCATTTGGTCCCTTTTGCCAACAGACTCGTGAGTGGTGCTGTGATCTCGGCGTAGTGTGGCACGAACTGACTGTACCAACCACAAACGCCCAACACCCGTAACACGTCTTTTGTCTTCTTTGGAACCGGTAATTCCTGAATTGCCGTCAGTTTCTCCGGTTCCCGGTCTATTCCTTCACCGTCCACGACGTGACCTAGGAATTTGATCTGTGCCACCCCGAATGTACATTTTTTCGGTTGGCACGTCAGACCGTAAGACTGGAGTCGCTCCAAGACTCTCTGCAAGTGGTTTAGATGTTGTTCGGGACTCTCCGAGTATACCACAATATCATCCAAATAAACCAACACAAATTTACCAACTAACCCACGGAAGACTTCGCTTACCAAGCGACAGAATGTGGCGGGGGCGTTTTTAAGTCCAAAAGGCATTACTCTAAACTGGAATAATCCTCTTTGGGTCCTGAACGCCGTGAGTGGACGTGTCTCTGGTGAGAGACCCACTTGCCAATATCCTGATTTCAAGTCCATGGTGCTGTAAATCTTCGCTCCACCCATTCCTCGGACCATGTCATGAAGGTCCGGCATCGGGTGAGCGTCCGACTCCGTCTGCATATTCAAACGGCGATAGTCCACGCAAAACCTACGTGAGCCATCCTTTTTCTTCACGAGTACCACCGGTGCAGCCCATGGAGATATGCTTGGTTCAACAAAACCCTGTTCCTCCATGTCTCTCACCATTTCGGCAATAACCTCGTTTTTCTCTCGGGAGTACCCGTAAGCGTTTAGAGCCACCGGATTTGGATCCTTGAGACGGATCTGGTGCTCTATCACCCGAGTTCTGCCTACCTCTCCGGAGAAAACCTCCGGATATTGGCAAAGGACTTTTTTGACCCGCATACCGTACTCTCCTTCGGGTAATCCTGCGGTTGTTAAGTCCACTCCTACGGTGACCGGAGTTACTGGATTTCTCCAACTCACGGAAACACGTCTTTCTTTCCCCAGGTGGATTATGCAACCGCTATAGTCCCAAGCGACTTGTTGCTCCACGAGGAAATCATGGCCCAGGAAGACATCTCCGATGAGATCGTCTAACACTGCTGCCCTGAAGCTTACCTCCAGATCCACTATCCGGGCCCGAAATTCGGAAAACTCCGTAATTTCTCGGGTCCGACCGTCCGCCATCCGGACAATCTCCGGTTCTTCGGTAAAACTCCGGCCAAACTTATTTGCCACCCACGGTTTGACGTATGTCCTCGCCGCTTGGGAGTCCAGTAGCGCTACTACTGCCCCGAGTGCAAACTCTAGTTCTATGGCCGGTAACGGAACATCCGTTACTGTAGTTTTCCCCGTTGACACCGTTGCAATGGCTGGAGACTCTAACACTCCGGTCCGTAGACCCCAAAAGCGTTCTCTCAACTCGAACTTTGAGTCTGTATCTGAGTTTCTCCTCTTGCACTTTTCCCGTGGATAAGGAATAAACTCCTCGGAAAGATCTTTGGATGTGACCGGACAAATTAACAACTCCTGTGTTAACTCATCTTGTTCCGCATCACTTGAAATGCTGTCCGCGACATTTTTATTGGAAAGATCCCTCACTTCGGTGAGATTTTCACTTTTGTCCGGAACACTTTCAATCCTAAACGATTTTCCCGACCTGTTGTCCCGCTGGTCGAAACCCGTTTCCATCACTGAACCATTTACCCGGTCCATTGTCACGAACTGTGGTTCCTTTACCGGAACGTCGTTTTCAATGGGTTTTCTCGGGTGGCCTCGGCGATTTCTCCGGCGTCTCTCCGGAGGCTCGACGGTTTTCACCGGACAACTCCTCACTCCGGAGGTTTCCTTCGGGTGACCAAAGTTTTCCTCCGGAGGAATTACGTTCTTACCAGATTTTACCGGTTCAGAACTCTTTTGGTCCGATTTCCTCGGGCCCTTTCCCGAGTCTCCGGTCCGTAACGCTCCGAAGTTCCGTTTCTTCGGGTCAGTTCTTGTAATTTGTGGTTCCTGCTCCGGAACGTTACTCACTGCCCGAGTTGAACTTCGTTGCTTACCACTCTTCGGACGACTCGTGACTTTTCCGCCGGTTACTTCCTGGCCGGTCGGGACCCGGCGGTCCCGCCGGTCGTTTTGGCGTTTCCCGACTCCGACTTTCTTTTCGGACATGCAGCTTGCCAGTGGTCATGACTACCACATACTCTGCATCCTGCTCCCGAAGATAGTCGTTGCTTCGGATTTGGCACTTGGGATTTCTCTGCACTCTCAGCTTTTCGTCTATCCAACCATTTTGACTTTGGTGGTACGCTGGTGCTCACTCCCGCCTTATCCGTAATTACGGCCTTGCTACCATCCAGAACATGGGCAAGCGCTCGTAATTCGCTGAACGATTTCAGTCGCTGTATACGTGCATGAATTCTAAATTCATCACGCATGAGTCCAATCACTGTCATTACCACCGCCTCTTCTGTCAGACCAAGGTTTAACCGCCGATACAACTGGTACTTGTGTAGGACGTACTCCCCCAGTGTTTCGGTCTTGGTCTGAGCGGTGCTCAACAATTCTGATTGCAGACTCGACTGCAACTCGTCCCCGTTGAACTTCTCCAATAGTTCGGACCTGAACTCTTGCCATGGTAAGTCCAACGCTCTCATGGTTCCCCACCATGTTCCTGCCTGAGCCTTCAGCTGAGGAGCCAAAACGGTCACCCATCTAGCCTTGTGGATACCAGTTTCTTCAAGTATTGCCTCGGCCTGGAGCAAAAACCGCACTGGGTCTTCCTCCCTCTTACCGGCAAACTCTGGTATCGACGCACGGGCCATATTCAACTCATTTTGAGGAATGAGCAGGCTATCCGGGAAATGCACGCGTTTTACACCGGAAAAACTACTCCGTAACGCTTCCTCATGACTTCTGCCGGAAACTTCACCGGACACTCCGGACAGATTACCGAAGACTCCGGACATTTCACCGGACACTCCGGACTGGTTACCGGAACCTCCGGAAACACTCCGATTTCTCGGGTTTTCCCCGGTCAATCTGCTCCGTATGTTCGCCCATCGGCTCTCAAAACTCATTTTTTGAGTTTTGACCGGAAGATTTTGACTTTCGTCCGAGCAACTCTGATTTGGCCCGGATAAGTCGCTGGTTGCTGGTTGTTGGGTATTTCCACGGCATGAGCAACTTGCTTGCTCCACCCGTTCGGTCGACTTGAGCTTTTCTTTGGCTAACTCCCGCTCCAAGCGTTCCACGCTCTCGCTGAGAGTAGCGATTGTCAGTTGCTGCTTGTCGACCGTTGCTTCCAACCCCTCCAGCCTATCTAACATCTGCTCCATAAACTGGTTTATCAAACTCTTTTCAGAGTCGACCTCATCCTCCCCAGTTTGAGCCACCGATGTTTTCCCTTCCGGTACCTGGGCTGACGTCTCGTCAGTTTCCCCAAACCGTACTGATCCTGGATCCAAATTTTCCTTAGCCCTAATATACTCTTCTAATGCTAAGAGTTTATCGGCCTTGGACCCCCCGGTCTCAATACCACGCTTATGTAACTCCCGGTTAATCTCAGCAATAGTTAATTCACCAATGTATTTCGTACTCATTGTGATTATTAAATTTAACTGCTATTATCTACCTAATTAAAGTACGTTAGATATGAGATTACGTAACTCGGGCTATCGCTGGTAGAGATATGTACTTTCCAATCTATAAATAGCCTAAACCAAGTTTAGCACTGTAGGAATTACGCTAAATTATGCAAATTTTGCTACAATTTACCACCTTAGATTGGACAAGCCCTTAATATTTTATTTATAATAAAAAATCAGAATAAAAAAAAAAAATATTAGGAACCGGTATGACCAGGACACCTATTGTAGGTTCTTTTAACCCGATATGTGCTAATTTACTTTAATTTACGTAAAATTATTTTTTATTAAAATTAGCACTTACCTTACTCCTGTACCGACTGCGCCAATGTAGGTATGTAGACGGTTTGTAGAGAATGTAAATAACAACGGACACGTTCAACAGTATAACGTATATTTTGCACGGGTAATATTAATACAAGACAATATAATTACAATACGTGCGGTGTTGACGAAGGTCCGGCGAGAGATGCCACCCGTCGCCACCGACGCTGGCCGGGCCGGCGGCCGTGCCGCAGGCGGCGGCCAGACCGGTTGTCGGTCGCGATCTCGCGGACGTCGATAGAGACACCGCGGCCGTTGCGATAACGACCGCGACAACATCCACTTGCCCACCTTTGCAGATTTTGCATACTGACCATTCATACGGGTCCATATCCATTGTATACGTACCTAAAGTGTGACTTGAACTGTCCATCGTCGAACAGAGGTATAACAGTTTCGACATAGTTTTGCATACGAGGTACCTCTTTTCTATCAGTCACACACACTGCCAGCTCTAAAATTTGGCTATCATCGTCACTTTCCTCAGACGATGAGGAAAATATGATATCTCCTACTTTTTGTATAGCTACTACTAGTAAATTGCGTTTATCCATTTTTAAATTAAGTCAACACTTAGAAAAGTTTTAAAAAAATCGTAAATTCAAAAACAAAACTTAATTAATTAAAACTGATAACCAGCGTAGTGATCTGATAACGTCGCAACGCTCACGCAACCAATATTCGCGTTCGTCTAGCGGCCTACCTGTGAGCGCATACGTCTAAACGAACGGTTCAAAGCGTTTACAATAAGCGTAAGCACTTAAAGTGAATAAGATCCCATGTCGAACGCACCCTATAGTTCATAGTTGTCAATACTTAATAGTTAATAGTAATGTTTTTTCCGTTGTTTTCTTTTTAGATATTTTAACTTAATAATTATAGATATTGTCGTACGGAACTTAACGTTCGGCATACACATATCGATTTGTCGCATTGGATCACAATCAACAACATTGCAATTCGCAGTGTATTCAATTGGCAGTTTGGCACTAATTGTTCTATTTGATATATTATTTTCTGTGATCTGTAGTGTTATATATTTGTTTCATAATATTGCAGTCAACACCAAGATCAACTTATTATAGTTATAATCTTATATGCTTTCTGGTAAGTTTTTTACATTTTTGTTTTACTTTTATTGTCAGTGGTGCAACTAGTTTTTACTAAAAACCTTTATCAGTGTATGTTTTACCAAAAATATATCTTAATAATGTTTTGGTTATAGTATGTTAATAATAGTGAGGAAGAAGCGAATGGTTGCTTTATTTTTAAAATAAATGAATTTAGTGGGCCTCCTATAAATGTCACAACAGTTTCATCAGGTCAAAAAATGACACGCTTGAAAGAATTCTACTAACTTAATACATTGTTAATAATTTAAAGTTAGGTTATGCTATTTTATATGTATAAATATTATTAAATATATATTTTTTTTAAATTTATTAGAATATTTGTAAATTGTAAAGTAATGGAATATATACCACAAATAAGTGATTCATTTTTGCATATGCTTCAAGTTCCTTCTAGTACTGTAAGTACCGTAACTATATTTAATAAATTACATTAAAAAAATTATGTCTACTTATTCATGGAGTTACTTATATTCTATAATACCAATGTTTATTTGTATTATTATGTATATCTTAGCCCCCGGCTGAAGTAGTAGAAATTACAAATCCTGATTTATATCTTCAAAACTGTTCAACTCAAATGTCAGAGTTATATTATCCAGTTAATGATTTACCGATACTGAAGAAACTATTAGAAGATTGGGGTTTAACATGTGTTTATCAGACTTGTATTGGTAAGAAACTAGGTATACCACCGAAACATGGTACACTTAATTACTCATTAGGTACCTTATAAATATGTTTTTTTGTATATACTCTGTTCAAAATAAGATCGTGACCCGGCGGCGACCAGTTTTCGTCGGGCGGCGGTCAGACATATGGCCAGATGCCGTCCCCACTACAGCGACGCGTAGAGCGCAGCCACGGAAAAAAGCCACGCCCATGCGCACAACTCGGCCGCCGGGTCACGATCTTATTTTGAACAGAGTATAGATTGATATGAGCATTCTTCAGCTTTTAAAAAGTAGACATGTTGATAAATTATTATCAACATATCTATTAGGCATCCTAGTAAAATTTGAATCTGAACTGGAAAAATGGAAAACCAGTTTAAATATTGTTGATATAAATAAAAGAACAGAGTCTGCTGAAATAGTTCTACACTAGGTTGGTCATCTAGCGTTATCTGCCTCGTGTTTATACATGATATTACCACAGATTATATGAAAACAGATGTAAACAAAAAATGGCCTGATTCTGGTCTCCGCCAGAATCAATGTGACCATTTCAACAGATTAAAATTACTTGAAATGTATCGTATACTTGTGGCTTACCTGATAGTGATACCCGAGTATCCGACAAACAAAACATATTGTTATCAATACTCTGATACTTTATACTTGATAGTCTGATGTTTGCTTTTCACTTTTCACGTGTTTTTGGCGTTTGACGTTTTACGATTTTTGGTGTTTGCTTAAATAAAATAGTTTTTTTTTTGTAATATTTTATATTTATACTGTTATATTTATTTTAAAAAATGACTACTTGTGCAGTCAAGTTTTGCAACAGTAAAATGTCACTAACGAAAAATATAAGCTACTTCAGATTTCCAAGCGACCCATTGAGGTGAGTAATTAGGTTTGTTTTATGATTTTCATATGTATGCATTACAATTTGTTACGTTACTAATTTATTATAGGTGTAAACAATGGATGGAAAAATGTCAAACTGAACATTTACTGAAAACAGATGCTACTATTTTATACAAAAATTACAGGGTGTGTGGTTTTCATTTTGAAGACAAAATGTTTTTAAATCCAAATAGTAGGAACCGTCTTACAATGAATGCTGTGCCAACCATATTTAGTGGTAAGATTTTGTTTATTATAATTAATATTTTTAAGACTAAATGGAAACTATTCTAATTTGCTTTTGCTTTGCTTTTGCTGCGGCTACACGGCTGAGAGATGCATATTGATAGTTCAACCACCAAGGTTCTTCTCAGGAAATGATCTATTGTTGCACTCCAGAGTCCTGAGGATATCCAATGAATTACAGATTTTGAATTAAGTTTATTTACATTAATTTAATTATTACCTATATATTATATTTCTTCTTTTAAAGTAAGATTTTTACTCTGTGAAATTTTTAAAATTTAATTTAATAAAATTGTTTTATTCCATTATCAAAATATCAAATGTTATTAATTTTTTTCAATGCATATGCTTATGCCATGCAAATAAATGAACTACTTTAATATGAATTTATAAATATTATTAGCTGGAATATTAATGAAGAGAGAAATGGAAAAGAAATCGGAAGAAGAAAAGGAAAAGAAATTGGAAGAAGAAAAGCAAATGCGAGAATTTGAGGCACAGGTCGCGATGGCATCATGTTCTAGTCCATCACACTCATTAACTTACAATGATAATGTATATACCAATGTCAGTGACGTATCTGGTTCCTCTTCCATTTCTAGTAAGCTACAAGTGTCTACTAGTGATTCATCTTGCCAAACTCCACTTTATCTCACTAACAAAACTCCAAGAAAATTAAAACTGTATAATGAACTTCAGTCCAAAAATAAAGAAATTAAAGATATGAAAAAACAAATTAATGCCATAACTCAACAATTAGCAAATGTTAATACTGTTGAACAAATGTTAACTCTAACTAAGCAATTTTTACCTCCTGGTTTATTTTTAATTATAAGTACGGATGAAATGGCAATAAAAAGTAATTTGTTTTATAACATAAGTAAGGATGAAATAATAGGGTTTAATGAAACAAACAATCGTAAAACGTATGATCCAGCAAAGTTTGTACTTGTCTTGTTGGTTCAAGGCATAAATTTCAATTGGAAGCAACCGATTGCTTATTTTTTTATATCAAATAGTTTTACAGGTTTTGATTTGCAGGACATAATTTTAACCAGTATTTTTAAACTAGAAAATATTAAAATTAATGTTAAAGCATTTGTTAGTGATATGGGTTCCAATTTCATAGGCCTCTCAAATAAACTTCAAGTTAGTCCTGAGCGGCCATATTTTGAAATTAATAATAAAAATATAGTGTATATATTTGATCCACCACATCTTTTAAAAGCCACCAGAAATATGTTTTATCAACATAATTTTAAGTATGATAATGAATTAATTGAAAAAAAACATTTGGTTTCATTCTATAATGAAGATAGTAAAAATAATCTTCGCGCTGCTCCTAAAATTACATATTCTCATATATTTCCTGGGCCTTTTGAAAAAATGCGCGTATATTTAGCAGCACAGGTGTTTAGTGAGAGTGTCTCAGCTGGAATGCTACTTTTCTTAAAATCAAACCACTTACCTGATACTTCATTGCCTACAATCAACTTTATTCAAAATATGGATAAACTTTTTGACATATTTAATTCTTCTAGACGACCTGGCTTAAAACAATTTAATAGACCTTTTAAAAATACTGATTCGCAAATTTCACATTTAAAATTTATGGAAAACTTTTTTAAAACATTACAAGTATTTAACAAAAAAACAAATGTTGAAGTGACAAACCAAATAAAATTTATTAGAGGTTGGTTAATTTCAATCTCTGGTTTATTACAATTGTGGGAATCACTAAAAGTTATCAATACTGATGAGAGTTATGTTCTGTATACAAGTCGAATCAATCAAGATAGGTTGGAAAATTTATTTGGCACGTTTCGCACCCAACATAACGGAAATAATATTAATTCAACCCCAATACAATTTATCTGGTCATATAAACAAAATTTTTATCTCAATTATTTTACCCACTCTGACAATGCAAATTGCATAGGAGACTTGGATGAAAGTTTATCTAAAATTAATACAGATCCCTTAAATGACAAAAACATAAAAATAATATTTCATGATAATAATCCATTTCAATTTAAAAAAAATATACTTGCAATAGACACCCCAGATTATAGGAATTTACCGATGCCAGAAAAAAATGCTTTCATATATGTTTGTGGATTTGTGGATGAAGAAATGCATTGAAAAACACTCTTGTAATATTTGTATTCAATATGCAAAATCACAAAACAAATTGAATGAGTCCTTTTTACTTTGCTATTTCAAAGCATATGAGAATGCAGAAAAAACAATGTTTGGCAACTTAATGATGCCACAACATGCATTTTATGATTATATTGATGAATTGGAAAACATATTTATAAATAGATTTCCACACATAGCTATTAACAAAGAAGTAGGTATTAAGTTAAAATTAAGCATGATTAATGTTGTATTTAGAATTCATGCTGCAATTAAATTTTTAAATAGGAATTTAATATCAGAAAAAATAAAAAACAATAGAAAATTATGTATACTAAATCATTTATGAATAAATTAGAAAGTATTTAGTATTAATAAGTAAGCTAGGTAATTGTATAAACATTTTGTACTCCATCAAAATGTTTATAATAAATGTATAATATGTATTTAATTTTAATTGTTAATATTACATTGTTTGAAATTGTGAAAAATTTAAATAAATATTTGTTTGTAAATAACAATTTTCATATTTTATTTCTATATTAATTTTACCTGAGTATAATATTTTGAGTATTGAGTTGAAATTGAAAAGTTCACTAAGCAAAATCAAATTTCTATAATATGGTATGTATGTATGTTCAATAATTTAGCATTGGTATTTGTGATCACACTGATTTGGGCGGAGACCAATCACAGCACCGTATTCATTTTTTACATTGCAGCATAGGAAGTGCACTTTCTGTTTTCATATAATCTGTGATATTACCTATGTTAGGTTTTTCTTTCGAATTTATTATCTTATCTTTGGTTGTCTGTACCTTAAATCACAGAACAATGTTCTGTGTACACACGTTGTCCGCTATCAGTTAGATAACACAAGCTGACGGTGGGACAACGCGCGCCCTCCTCGACTGGTCATCGTGCGTCACACATACACACACCCATAACGAAATAACAAGGTATGATCACAACTTTGTGATACGCATTAAATCTCTATTATCAGAAATAAGAGTGGGAGTCATCCTCGGCATTTCATTGGTCCTTGATATTATGCTGATAAATTATAAATTATAATCGATGAAAAGTTTTAAAAAATATAGGTATGCGTAAGTAATTAGTATTATAACTTATTTAATCATGATTTATTATAATAAATAATAATTATACTATTTAGTGTAAGTTTAAATGTTAAAAATTAAAAAATTAAAAATTAAAAAACTATTTATTGAAGATGTATTATACAAATACAATATAATATAATATTAAACTAATTTCATTGCTATTTGATAAATTTTTGTTTTTTTCGTGTTTCAACTTTTTTTTTGATATTTATCTGAAATTAATTGTTTGTTAAGATTATTCATTCTTATGAATGTCCGTGTCCTAACTAGACAGTCAATAACTTCATGCGGGATAGACAAATATTGAATTATTGGTATCAATCTGTTAATCATATTTTCCATTATCCCTTTACTTTTTGTAATATTATCACCATTCACTAATTTAAATTCAATTTCAAGAAATTTGATTGCTGCCATCAAATTGTTTGATGGTAATTTCAAACCACCTCTTGACTTGAAATTAGTCCAACTAATTTTACAAGTTCTTTTTACTGCTGGTTCAATACTGTAAAAAAAAATGTTTAAATGAATTACAGAGAGAGAGAGAGAGAGAGAGAACAACTTTTATTTAAGAAAAATACAAAGCGGACTGCCTGTCGAACAGGTTACCTATAGTGACAGAGTATACAAATCAGAAATTATTATAATTTATTAGTTTAGCTATTTCAACAAAATAACAGAAAATGGGTTTATAGATACCTGGTTGATTCATCAGCTAAATTTGTAACCAAAAATGATCCAGACGGTGTACACATTTTTGGTGATTGATTAAATGAATTATTTTGACCATGCATACATGTTTCAAGACATTCACAACTACAACAGTAAACAAATAACATTTTTCTATTTGTATTAAACCAACTTCAATATCTGAAATAGATGGGACTTCAACCTTAAAGGTACTGCATCACGTTTTAGTTTTCTGCCACGTCTGGGAGTATAATTTAAAATGTTTTGTGCCCTTGTTTTGTTCTCGTATGAACTTGGTGAAAAATGTAATGAACATACTGCAGCTAAAATAAAACTCGTCAAACATTAAATTATTATTTCTAACATGTAAACTGACTTATTACGTCTTAATGATTCATTGAAGAGTATTTTAGTATTATAGCGTTAATAGATATATTTTTTTATTGGTTGTTTGCTTGTTTATATAATTGTGTGTATTGTTATTACTTATTACACACCCGTTTCAAAATTAATATTCATAGTTTCGTTTGAACCCTTTTGGATTTGTTCAAACCATAGAGCCCTCATATGTGAGTCCTTAGGGAATCTATAAATGTGAACATTAGTATTACTACTTTTAATTTTTTTGCTGCCACTATAGCATCCAACAAATGCACAAACTGGCATAATGACAAAGCCAAGAACAACAATTTACAAATAAAAACAACAGTGAAAAATTAAAATTTACCAAATACATACAAAAAAATATATATTATTATTTTATATTTTTATCATTAATTTAACAAAGCATTATGCAATCAAAAACTCATAAAAGGCGCGTTAAATATAAACCAATCAAATGACGAGGATGACTCCCACCTTATTCTGCTTAGACTGAACGAAATTTAGTTTGTTGTGATCATACCTTGTTATTTCGTCATGCACACACCGTATAGCCAGCTGATTACTGATATTGCCCGGGCCGCGATAAAACATTGGCGCGAAAAAATAAATATATATTGAATTGTTTTCGGTACCTATTTATTGACTTTTTTTACTAAACAATTCATTAAATGTTCAACTAAATAATATTGTAGGAAGAAATGTCAGCAACTAAAAACATCATTGCTGTGTTTTTACTGTTTATTTTTTATTGTACGTATTTCGTATGTTCGAAATTTTTTATTTTTTTATACTGTGCAGATTAATGAATACAAATAATTACTAAGTATACTTTTAATAAGTACCATACCTATTACCGTATTGTATAAGAATTCAATTCAAAACTAAACAGTGTTTCATGTTAAATCTTAATTTGTAATTTATGTAAAATATGTAAAATCAATTTTAGTTGACAGTTAATACTATATTAATTTAAATGTCACGAATACTCTCGATTGCAATAATCATTAATCATAATAAGAAAAACAATTAGTTTTATGCCCGATGCCGTGGTCTTTTGAGGAGTAGTAGGGGCCAGATTCAACTAGCACTGTAGTTAGTGAGTCCACTGCACATCGACGCGCGATAACAGCCGTTACCAACCTGTGTAGATAACCGTGTTCTGGACTAATTTTATTTTTACAATCACTATATTTAATACAACTTTTTTTTTATATGGTAATTGGTAACACTTAACTTTTTCTACATTTTCGAATAGATAAATGTAGTAAGCAATATATTATTATAATACCTTTGGCATAAAATAAACGTCAAATATTAATTAGGTTAAATATTTTTTTTAACAGTTATCTTTTTTCTGTTAAACAATTAATTGTATATACAATGTACTTAATAAAAAATACATACACATAATACATAAAATAAAATACATTAAAAGTAGGCTAATTACCATTGTCGATGAAGCTATAACAGGTAATAAAAAAAACAAAAAAAGTACAAAATACATAAAAATAATACAAATTCATGACAATTAAACATTTATATAAATCTATAAAAAATATAGTTACTTTATAAGGCTTCACATCCTTGATCATCTGAATCGGACGTGTCCCCAGTGATCGTCATTTTATGTATATTGTCGCCATCCATCACATCATCGACGGTTAAGTCCACCTTCCAGAAGTTCTCTTCTATTTTGATGACGTGTTGGACAAAGTTCTTCCACATTTCAAGTGTGCAGTGATTGATCCTTAGCCCAATACCCAATTCTTTTGAAACCATCTTTACGACTTCTTTAATATTTAGCGTTTTAGATATGTACAAGTTAACGATCATCAGTTTTTGACGACTGCTTCAATCATACAACTTTTTAACTCATCAGAACGAGAAGAATTATTTAAAATGGGTAAAGTTTTCATTTTTTTTTTTAATTGTTCATTTGTAGGTGAGGTTAAGATGAGGATTCGGGTTTAGATAAGAGTGTATTTTCTTTTTACTGGTTAATTTCTTATCCCAACCTTCAACTGATTTATTTTCTTCTGCCAAATCATCAACAAATAATACATCATGAACATGTTAAGCATAATATACTTGTTCCACCTGGTCTAGTAAGTGAACATGAAGACAATATATGAACTGGAACTTCACAGACATCACATTTTTTAGATTTATCTGTTGGATAGTTACCTGCAGCACATAATGGACATTTACTTTTATTTTCGTATATAGTATTGAAGTTTTTAGAGAGATTTTCAATGTAGTCGTCAATTTTCTTTTCATAATTTTCAATCACTGGCATTCTCTTTATGTAATTTAAACTGTCTAAACTAGCAGTATTTAAACATTCATTAGAATCACTATTTATATTTTTCAGTGAAGTGTCACTATTCAAACTACTTTCTCTGATAGACTGTGCATTGTCTACAATTATATCACTGCATAAATGTGTTGGCGAACTTTCTTTGCTTATTGCGATATTTTCTTCATGGATTGGTGAACTGCCGTTGTTAGATTCATTATTCACACAATTTGTTGGTGAATTATCTCTACTGATACTGTCCTAAACATGATGTAGGTATTTTTATTATTTAAGAAAATATTTCTGAGTTGGTGATATAATTTGTTTTACTTCGTTATTTTCAGAAATTTCATTTGTATAAATTGTCTCTTTTGGTGATAAATTATGACCTGATTTTAATGGTGACATACTAAGAAGTGATGATATATGGTGTTCTAAAAACAATTAAATATCTGTAGGCAGTGAAATATTTTTTAGTTTGGTAAAACTTGATTCGACTGCGGCTCAACATGTGGTTTCATTTCCATACCAGAAAATTGGTATCATTAAACCTGAAGACAAAGGCACTAGTTTCATGCATTTTATTATATATGGGACTAATTTTGGTAAATATAATGGGTTAATAGTTAATGTTGTTTCCTGTTTGTAAAAATGTTTACTTTACTATATATCCTTTCAACCCATTTTTGAAATGGATTATTTAAATTACCCAGAGCTTCATTTAATGTTTCCTAAGTTTCTAGTACATTATATTGGATTTTTTCGTCATTTTCAGGATCTAATAACTTTTACAATAGATGATCATTAATCATTATCCACTTTACCAGTTGAACTAGCATAGATAATGCATTGATTATGCATGTCACACGGACTTTCTTCTCCACTTACACTATCATTACCGTCTGTTTCATTTGTATGTACAATAAACAAACTTAACAATAAAGAAAGCATTGCATCTAGGGACTGAATTTGTATTACCTAGCATGCATTATGAACGTAGTATAACCTCTCTAACTCTTCTTGCTACAGTTTTGAGAGGTGGCCATTTGGTAATCAACTTTAAAAATGTGCAATATCTGTTCTTATGAAACATCTAGGAATCCAATGTTTATTAGCTGGTAGATTATTTACTATTAAATCGGAACAAACATTCATATACCTAATCTTGGAGTGAAGAGTACTGGGTAAAACATTGTACCTACCACTGCAGACAATAGTGCTAGTGATTGATCGCTTGCTGTTATTTTTGCAAAAGTATGTCACAGTTTTTCCAATGAGCGAGCCAATTGAAGATTGCCACGTTGTCAGATTGCCACGTATGTCTTTTGCTAAGCATATTACTAACCATAAAACTATATTTATATTCCTCATAAGCCAAAGCATCATAAAGGAATATATATATATTTGTTTTTTTCCATATACTTTCTAAAATTTGAACCCACTGAACCACTTGCATCTAAAATCATTTGTGAATACATAGACTGACGTGCATAATTTCTATATCAGTGAATCTGGTCTCCAGTATGATAGTAAAGGAAGAATGGATCGAGACCTATGTCATCACACTTTTAAACTCATTTTTGTTTTTCATCAAACATAAAGCGATTAATTTATTTGAATGTCTTTTATTATTTAAACGTTGGATATTATTCGTTATTTTTAAATTTCTTAAAGCATGGCCAGTTGGAATTATGGCTAGTTCCTGAATCCTGATCAACTATGCAAATAAAAAAAGTTTTATATAAAATAGAAATCTTTGGTTTCTGAACAAACATTTTTATCAAAAAAGAATGACAAACCATAATGAGATTCTGAGTCTTATCTGTTGATAGTTTTGGCAGTCAATTTATTATTTTATATTATACTACCCTCTCCCCCACAAAAAAGTTAAATTTGACTATTTTTAGGACATCTTTGTAAGTTTAATTTTCCATTTTAACAATCAAATACAAACTTAAGTACAGAATACATAATCTTCTAATAACATCAGTGACGCACACTCAATCTTACTAACATGGGTCGAACATTAACAGCGATGACCACCCGGCCACCCACCAACCAACCATTAGCAAACCAACTCCAATATAGACCCTCTGGGCACTTGAGACGCTAGTCCCCCCCCTAAAGTCATTTAAGTTTAATAATAATAATTAAAATTTTATTTTTATTCAAAAAACTATTTTTTATAATAATAATGACTATAACAACTAATACATACATTTTTTGTCTAAATAACTGTTTTTATAACATATTTAAGTTTGTAACCTGTAAATAAGGAACATTCTTGTCAAATCAAATTATATTGCCGTACACTTTGATCAACATCCTAAATTAGCGTACAAAAGACAAAACTATAACATATTATATAATTATTCAAAAGTCTACAAAATGTTAAAGGCAAAAATAATAAAAAATAGTTTTTACCATTTTTAATACATGATCCGGCATTCGAGTAGCAGGTGATCTACTACCTCTTTTTAGGTGTATCAGGTGATCTACCGTACTATACAAGGTGTAATTGGTGATCTACAATTATTATATTACATAATATTATTCTATTATTATACGCACATTATCGCAAACCGCAGTTAATTATTATATTATATTAAACTATTATTTTACGCACATTATCGCAAACCGCAGTGGGACAGTATTGTGATAACGATTAATGACATTTGCAATATGACTACGAGTCTTTAGCAATGTTGCTGGAAAGGTTAGTTTCTGATAGGTGCAAATTTCTGATTCTGATTCTGAAAATATTCCTCCTAATAACAGGAATAGAAATTATGGCAAACGAGTAGAAGGACCTTGGGTGTTTGGAATGTGTTGGCGGCATGATGGTTTTCTTGAAAAACGGTTTTTTGTTGTTGAACGGCGAGATAGAGCTACACTTATTCCAATTATTGAAAAAGAAATACTTCCAGGAACAACAATAATGTCAGCTGAATGGAAACCATATACAATTTTACAAAATACAGGTTATAATAACTTGACTGTAAACCATTCTAAAAACTTTGTCGACCCGCTAACAGCAGCCAACACCCAGACAATAGAATGGGTTTGGTCACATCTGAAAATGAAAATACTTCGAAAAATGCATGGCACTACATCGGAACTTTTACCTCGTCATCTGATTGAAGCATGGTGGAGATCAGTTAATCCTGAAAATACTTTTTTTAAATTTTCAAATGATACTAAAAACGTTTACTGTAATTTAAATTATTATTATATTTAGCTAAATATTTTTTATTTTTATATTTGACGAATATTTGTATGATATGGGGTACTCGTAATAAAAAATATAATGTGTTTTTATACTATTAAAACGTAGATCACTCGTCCCGAATTCGCAGATCACCCCTACGCGGTAGATCACCTGCTACACGAATGCCCATGACCCTTTACAAAGATATGTATTTAAAATAAAAGCTATGTTAATTTAGTAAGACTGAAATAGAGTAAAGGAACTTGAAATTGTAATTTTTTTTAAATGAGAAATATGATTTAGTAGAATTAAGTTCTGTAGTACTATACGTCTATACAATATTTTATATGAACAGATAAAAAAATGATTAGAAATTAGCATGTGATTGAATAATGTAGTAAACCGACAGAGTCGCTTTCCTATAATTATACATCATAATGACTTTGCACTATATGATATATTGATCAACGACTATACCACGCCCTGAGGTTTATTACATATTTCAAAATCGCATAACGATTTCTAATAATACATATTGCCAAATAAACCAGTTCACAACTCAAGGTTTATTCGACAACTTTTAACATTTACGCCGGTACCTATCATACCGCCGGTATTCCTTTGATCCACCTCCGAGTCTCTACCGTGTACCTAATAACCTAGGGAGACTTTGTATATATACGAGTCTCCGTCTGTATCTAAATTAGAATTAGTTCAGTGCTAGTACGACGTACATACTTGTAAGTACTTAGTATTAACCACTAATCTCTCGGGCAGACGCTTATCGCTCTGTCCTCAAATTTCTATGTTCAAATGTAATACCATTATATTATTATTAACTTTAAAATAAATTACTTATATTATTACGTTGTAACTTGTAACTCTGCAACCTTTTCTCCTACTCAATCATCAACGTCGTCAAACTCAAAATATAAGCGTTAGTGAGGGATCACTACACGTTTTTGGTGACAGGTTTGGGGTCACCTGAAGGAAGAATTCCCGCAACCAACCTGGAGTCGAGTACATCAGCGGACCTCGAGTTTATTCACGTTGCTGTTACCTAGGAAGGAAGCAAGCCGAGCGAAGCCACCAACTTCAATCAACATTCCAACTTCACTCAACTAGCCAAGCGGAGCATCAACGACGAGTCCACAGATCCGTCAGCACGCAAGCAGTTAGGACCAGACAAGAATACAATGAATTTTGCACTGTAAGTTGTCATTTTAAACAATTATATAGTATATGTCTGAGAGTCCAAGGTGTTGGGCAGTAGTT